GGTGCGTATTTCCGAAGAGTCCCAAACTAGGAGAAAATAGCTGTCCAGCACTCCACGTGGCTTGTTTTCAATGGTTCTCTAACTAACATCAATCCATAATCAACTCGTAAAAATAAAACTAACCCTTACACAAACCAAACTATAGAAAAGTCACGTTATATGTTGCAAAGTGGCGGAAGTCAAAATTTATGTGTAAGCTAATCTGTATTGAATTGAATTTTTGATTTTCCCGTCGATTGATTGGACCGAAAAATTCAATTCAATAATTAATATGACTCGTTGCACAAGAGGTGGCTCTCGTGACCCAAGTGGTCTAGTGGATAACGCTCTGGCGTTTGAAACTATGGGCACTGGGTTCGAGCCTCGGTGGGAACATCATCACTCACTGAGAACAGCAGATACATCCAACTGACGAGTCCCAAATAGGACGAAATGCGCATCCTGGATTCCACTGCTAGCCACCATCCACCAATTGGATACAAGCTAATCTGTCGCTAGTGAATTCCTCCCCGGTAATCTCCTTTGTCTCATCTCCCCTTGGCTTTCTCTCTCTCCCAAAGTCAAATGTGAACAAATCCGAATTCAAAAAAAAGATTCTCGAGAAAGAAAAACTGGACAATATTTCATAATTATATATAAAGAGGAAAATAAATCAATAAAAGTGTGTGTGAGACAGACATAATCAGAATGAATTACTGACGGGTGGGCTGATATTAGTATACATTGGCGTGGGTGTTGAGCAGATAGATAGATAGTTAGATAGCGAGATCGATAGACAGACAGACAGACAGTTCGAAAAATTAATTAACTATTAAAACTCGACTACAGTTAACAGTTGTATAAAAGTCACTTTTATTTGTTGATCTAGATATTTTAGGTTACTTTTAGGGAATCTTATTAAATTTCGATGTAAATTAATTTACCAGTCGACACATCAAACAGGTTTTCATACAGTCAGAGTTAATTTTAGTTACTTATAATAATCGACCTGTACGTCATCCCTGGTATAGACATAATATACATATATGCATCAAACGATGTGCGTGCTACGCAGCAGTTCGCTCCGTTCTTCTTTTCATGACTGTATGACATATGGTCACTCTGAATTGTTTTTCAATCAGTTCGGTCCTATTCTTCTCGTTGTTGGGCTTGGAGAATTTGTTGTCATCTGATATAAGAATCGTCAACTTGTTATTGTATATATAAACATCTCTATCAATTAGGAGCACTCCTGAACCCCTTTGTCACGACGTGTTCTTATTAAATTTTTATTGTTTCTCAGTTTTTTGAATTGTTGTCTATGTTCTTTTGTCAGGAGACGTCGGGTCTTAGTTCTCAGATTGAGATACTGATTACAGTAGTCGAAGATTGTTGACTTAAAGTATAGGAATTCTGTATCGGGAACTGGAGTAATGTCATCCGTTTCAGTGTTCTAGCTGTTTATTTCAGAGATATTTCTCATGCATGGTAGGATGAATTTCCTTGTGGTCTTTGATGATGGTTCTTTGTTGGTTGTTTTGATTCGACTTTAAACACTTTTTGGTAAAATTTTTTGGATAACCATTCTTCTTGAAGACCGTTTGTAGGTATTTTTCTTCCATTCTTTTCAACTCTGGTGTGATACAATGTGTTTGAACTCTTCTAAACAATGTCTGCACACAGTTTCTTTTGTGAGTGAGTAATTGGATTATTGCTAGTATAGTTGAGTATTTGATCTGTGTGTGTGCGTTGATTTTCTATATACTTGTGTTTCTAAATTTCCTGTGTTGGTTCCTACACTGTAAGTCAACAATCTTCGACTACTGTAATCAGTATCTCAGCTTGAAAACTAAAGCCCGACGTCTCCTGACAAAAGAACACAGACAACAACTCAAAGAACTGAGAGACATTAAAGATTTAATAAGAACACTTCGTGAGAAAGGGGTTCAGGAGTGCTCCTAATGGATAGAGATGTATATATATATTTACAATAACAAGTTGACGATTCTTATATCAGATGACTCTAAATTGTCCCCGTTATTATTTCACTTGTTCCACTTGTCACTGTAAATCGATTTCGTTTTGCAGAGTTAAATCCTATGTTATCAAATTTCACGCAATGTTACGTGACATTTTCAATTTTTTTTTAAATTATTGAAATTAATCCCAGTGTGTTTAAGAAAAAATTAAAACAAGATTTTTTCTGAACGTTTCGCTATGTAAGCCACAGCTTCTATCCTACTTACCTATTAAGTCTATAATTATGCACCCTCTCCCACCAACATCTATACACCGTATGAATTATTCCATATATGACATTAATTGTTTTGCCACTTGACATTTATTATTATTATTATTGTATCCTTTAGTTCCTAGAGGAACATAGGGCTTCAGCTGCGCACCTCCATTGCCTTCGATTTTCTGACAACTTTTTCACCCTGCTCCAGGTCTGTCCACATGCTTTCATCTCCTCCTCGCATGATCTCCTCCAAGTCACCCTTGCACTGACGACCAACTCGCCGCCTCCCTTTCGGGTTCCACTCGATTAATGGCTTGTCTAGTGATGTCACTTGATGGTTTCCTCAGCGTATGGCGAATCCATCTAACTCCATTTCTTCCTGCCTATTTGTTTCACAATCGGTTCCTGTCGGGTTGGTTCGCTCCCAGAGATCCCTGTTGCTGATATTTTCTGACCGGCCATCTGATCTTGAGTATTGAGCGGAGACAGCTGTTAATGAAGGTTTGAAGTTTGTTTATATATTATCAAAAATATTTTAAGTGCATATCATACTATTACTATTATTATTTCATGTATTCACATCTATGATTCAGTTCCTTCACCGGCTACAGTTTCTTAAATAAAAGCATTTACATACACGATTGTATAGCTTGATAATAAATTTGCTGGAAGGAGTCTCTTCGGTGTATCATTTGGGTGCGTTCTTCCATGTTAAGTGGTAGTATACTTCAGGAATAGTTTGCATTGACTCCTAGTTTAAGGATATGGAATGAAGTCGTTGAGTATGTTGAATGCTTCACTTGTTTGCAAGCAAGGTTACATCCGCCCTAATGAATTGATTGATGACGAAATTTCAATTCGGACAAAGAAGACTCTTCTGGCATCTGCCAACTTGCGTCATCCTTTGGCGTGAGCATGATATCCGGCTGTTACCCATCAAAGGAAACATGTACTGCACACAAGTTCACTCCGTCCTGCTTTACAACTGTGGCTATTAAAAAAGGGAAGACCTGAAGAGACTAGCTGTCTTTAATGATACAGATGTTTACCTTCAATGGATGTTAGTCATAAAGTGGATCGATGTAGTTATTAAATATGCATTGATTCAGCTATCTTGTACGCGTGCTGCTCATAACTAGTAGCTATCAGTTTTCTCAACGAGTTAACTTGGTTGAAATAATATTTGACTGGAAAAGAGTTAAAGATGGTCAATTCAAAACATGACATCAATTGATAAAGTCTTTCACTGGGTCATCTGAGGGGTGTGTACACTGTCTGACTGGAGACTACTAGCGATATGTCTCCAATTTCTTTCTAAATGATGCAGATGAATTCACAATTTGTAAACGATTAAAACCCTTATGTAATTATTCTTTCTTCCACACATTTCTGTGTTTATTATAGTTTCTATGCTGTTGGTCGGTTATCTCTATCACCTTCGTCTTCTCCATATTCACCTGAAGTCCTGTCTAAGCTGCCTGCTATCTTCTTCTGCCATTTTGTTGGTTTTCTCCTTCAAGTCTTTCGGATTGTGTGACATCAAACATAAATTATCCGCGATATCCAGATCATCGAGAGTATTCTTATCGGTCCAGTCTATTCCTGTTTCCTCGCTCCCTACGCACAGTCAGACGCGTGATCAAGTCCACCACAATCAACAATATCATCGTTGATGATAGCAGGCAAGCGAGTCTGGTCTCTTACTCCTGTAACCACTTCGAACGCCTAACGAAGTTTTCTGTTGTGGATCATCTGGCACATGCCACTGTCATATAGCTAGCTGTTGAATGAGGTTGATAAAGACTTGAGGACTGCAAGTCGTAGTGTTGAAACAGTTTCCAAACTACTTCTCGGTCAACGCTGTCTGTCAAAGGCCTTTTCAAAGTCGATAAAATAGACGTTGGAGGTCTAACAGCAACAAGAACCATCACTAGGAGACATTTGACAGAAGTCGCCTCTTTTACTTATCTGTCCAGGAAGCTTAGTTTCAACCCATAGACAACCGGATAGGATGTAAATGTCAAAGCCAGTCAGAATCTCAAAGGCAAGATACGCCTACACATCAACCTGAAACCATCCAATTTGGAAATCTTCTGCGCTGACTAAGCCAACAACATAAAGAACAAGATTCGGATTCTGTTCAACAGAAATCTCAAGTCAATCAGTTCTTCAAAATAGGTGAAAAACTTGCACTACGCGTCACGAATAGCAGTATTTCCAATAGCCTGTTGCAGACGTTTAGCTGGTTCCACATACTGAAGATCGAATAGCCGGGCAGAGAAAATTAGCAACAAGAAAATCTCACTAGCAATAAACCAAAATATGTAGGAGAAAATGGAATCGCATTTGGCATAATGTTGAGGAGGTCGTTGAATGACGTCGCGTACCAGGCCAGGTCAATCGAGTGGAATCCCAATAGGAAGTGATGAGTGGGTCGTCAGTTCGAGGAGGAGTTCGTGTGGCGAGGAAGGGAAGAAGGAGATGAGAGATTCTGTGTAATCGTGTACCTCAGCTAAAGAGGACAGTGGAGAATAGAAGAAAGTGGAGGTATGTTGTTGAAGTCCCATGATGTCCCACTTGGAACTCAAGGAACAACACATACATTTATCGATGAATAATCGTCAATTCGCTGTCTTTGAAGCGTTTTGTAACAACTAACTGTGTATGCCTCAATGAAATTTTCAGACAGCATGGGGGCACAGAGATCAGTTCCCCGAGTTCCGACCACAACAAATCGGTTTTCGTCAGTAGGAGGTATAGAAACAATTAAAGTTATTATTTTTTTTTTTTGAATATATATTCTTGATTGATTTCTAACAAAATATAAACAGTCACATGAATTTTCCTAAAAAACAGAAACTGATAGTTAGCAGAGAAAAAAAATTTATACAAAACTTTAAAAATCGATAAACAAACCGGTAAGAAATGGACATACATAAAAAGACGCCAAACACATACACACACAAACATTAGACTACTTATCACAAGTTATTTAAGTAGTATTAGTAGTAGTAATAATAATAATAATAGTAAAAGCTTATTAATACGAAAAGAAATAGCTCATAATAAATAATATTAATGGCAATAATAGTGATAAAATAACATGAATAATCCTAATTCAATTTTGAAAAAAAAATGTTGAGTTGAGTAGCTTTCAGTTGTTGGAACACCAGTAACACACCTCTACCTAGAAGTGACACAAAAAGCTCAATAACAAAATCTATTTTTACACAAAAGGAAGATATGATAACACAAGAAGAGATAGTTTATTTACAAATAAGAATTTAAAAAACAAATTCTTTGAGTAAAAAAAAACACTACGCACACACGCACACACACACATTCTTTGTCTTGGAAACATGCTCAAACATTGACATGTGTGGGATAAGAAAAAAAGGAATTGAAATGCTCCCCCTAACCCCTGGCTATCCTACCGTCAACGAACCCGCCAAACTGTACTGTCTTTCACAGGCGTCAAACAGCCGAAATAGAGTAAAATATCATACAAGTGGAATAAATAGATTTCAAAATTATGAGTGGTCGATAATCAATCGATACAGATTATTGATTGGTTTATTGAACGAATGAGTTCATAAAGTGAAATGCCTGTCAAAAAGATTAAAATTGACTACTAACCTTCAACAAAAAAGCGGTCTTATAAATAAATAATATACAAATAATAATACTAATAATAACCTAGACGAAAAAAATAGCAAAAAATAGCAAAATTGCTACTCCAATCAATATAAGAAGAACGAGACAAAAGTTGAAATGCGCGCCACACACAAAAATGCTTCATTTAAACAAATACTATTAATAATAGTAATAATAATAGAAATATTATCAAAAATTCACCAGTATCAATTAAAAATTCATCAAAAAAACATGACGAGGCAAAGAAGAAGACGACGATAGAAAAAATGCAGACACCGAGAAATAAAAATATCGTCGATCTTGTTATTCAAGGAATCCCCACACCTGTAGAATTAAAAGGAAAAATATTTTAAAAAAAGTTGTGAAAACCATGCGTGTTATAATAATAATAACAACAATAAAAAATAATAGAAAAATTCTCTATCTAATTGTGTCTATAAAATAAAATGCTTCCTTGGAATGTGATGCGATCTACATCGGACAAACATCTGAGGAAATCAAAATCAGAAGAAATGAACACCGTAGAGCCGCCTCTGTTCGACCACTGAGAAATCCAGTTAGTGAACTAGAAAAGCTTGAAAAATCATCAGCCAACCACAGCTTGTCTACACGCTATGGAAACAGGCCACAAAATTGATTTTGACAATATTGAAATCATCATCCAGAAAAAGCACTTCAGAAATCACAAAGAACGTCTAATACCGTCAGAAGCCAGCACTTCATATCAAGTGGAATCCAAATTTCCTGATGAATAGGAATGATGGACTAAAACAGAATCTGACATGGTTACAACGCTGACCCCCTCCCCTCCCCAACGAAGTGACAAAATCGACACGAATGTGATAAGCAAGTTCACTATGTCAACACACGCCGCCTTTATAATGTCACACACTGATAAAATCCAACAATCTACACTTGATTTTGTTATCTTTACCAACTGACCAACTTGACGACAAAAAACAACCCCAGACAGACGATCGATGATCAAGTTAGTAAACTTTGTTTTGATATCATAACAGATATACTATTAACTTTGATATTTGGTTTAGTGATCTTCATTGTTATTTTGACTTTCAATATGTCCTTTTAACTTGAACTAACTTGTCTATTTTCTCACCTCTTAACTCTTTGTTATATACATGCTGAGATTTTGTAAATCCCGGTTTAATAATACTACTTTGATAAAGCTACTAGCAGCAGCATTAAATAGCGAAACGTCAGTAAAAACAACAATATCGTTTTGTTTTTCATTGATGCATTGGGAAATACAAACAGAGTTTTGATTATAATGAACATCATATACGCAATGCCCAAATTTTTTCAAACCGTTAAAAGTGAATTTGGTTTGGACATATATAATAGAAAAATATGTTGGTATAGGTATAAAACTTGGGCACTGTGGTGGTAGTAGAGTATAACTCCATTGTAGATAAGACTTTATTTTGATAAACTGTCACACAGTGTTTGTTATACAGTAATATTAACTGATGACCACGTTTCGAGCACAAACTATTGCCACTCATAATCATATCAAGTTACTCACTCACACAACTTCTTTCCTTCATTTATATACATGGGTGGAATCGATTAGATATTTGAATAAAAATCAATATGGGATTACGACATTCAGAAACAATAATAATAACATGAGTGTTATCGATCAATTACAATTAGATGGGAAATAAAACGAGTGTTTTTATTGTCATCATAAGTAACTTGTTGAAATATTGTGATGTCCTTGAATTGAAATAGAATTTTAAGATTATTTATTACCCTTCTCTGATTTGACTGACTGGTGGTAACAATATCTCCCATGCATATTTCTGGTATTTGCATTGAGTCAATTCTGTTGCATGTAGACTCAATGAACCAGGCAGGATTCAGTAATCAATCTCTCTCACTCTCCACCTACCTAGATTACTGCTTAGAATCTTAACACTCTCCCACCCACCTTATTGTGTGGTTGTTTGTTAATGCATGTATGCAGTGCAATGCAGTGCTGAGCTTTTTCCTAAATTACTTATCTTCTCGGGTGGGATCAACAATTCTCATCTTAGCTAAATTCTTATGTTCCGACAATCTCATTACCTCCGATCTACTGGTCTGACCTATATAGTTGACTTAACTCACAGTCATTGCAGGTTATTTTGAAAATTATATTATTTTGTTTAATTGGGTCCACCGGGTCTTTTAGCCTACAGAGCTTGTATCTAAGTGAGTTTGTAGGTTTGAATGCCACCAGCCTAATTCCTGCTTTATTAAGAATCCTACGTGATGAGGGTCTCAGATATCCCCTCTTTATATGGCATAACAGTGGATGACTTGAATTCTCTCTTATTTATGTCGTCATTACTAGTTTCACAATTATTTTTATTTTGCTTTTGGTCTTTAATGATCTTCCTAATGAATTTTATAGGATAGTTATTCAACACCAACGCTTCTTCTATCTGTTTTAATTCATCATTTAGATCTTTTTTTGTGCTACTTAGTGCCACTGCTCGGTTTGTTAAACATTTAACTACGCCTGCCTTAACAGTTAAACGATGAGACGAATTAAAGTCTAAATATCTATTAGAATACGTTGATTTTCTATAAACACTAGTGTGTAGTTTACCTTCTTCTATTCGTTTTATTTTACAATCTAACACCATAGCTAATTCTCCTTGTTTATTTTCCGATTCAGATGTGAATTTTATTCCCTTTACTTGTGAGTTTATATGTGTCAAGAAACTACAGATATGTTCCGCTTTTAACACTTTGAAAGTGTCATCCACGTATCTCCAGTCACGTGTATAAATGAAACAAGAAAGTTGTGTGAGTAACTTGATATGATTATGAGTGGCAATAGTTTGTGCTCGAAACGTGGTCATCAGTTAATATTACTGAATAGCACCACTGTGTGACAGTTTATCAAAATAAAATCTTATCTATAGTGATCATAGGTTAGATCACAGGTTCCACCCCCCGCCCCATCAACTCCAGACCACTACCCAACCACTTGAATTTACAATGATTATGAATTAATTAAGATAACATGTTTCAATTCATACGAACTGTGATCAAGATTTGACCGGATAGTTGCAAAATAATTGAGCGCTGAGTGAGAAGTAGACATTTATAAAGTTATATTTGTTTTTATGCCACTTTTGACATTCTCGTTGATTGATGGGTTAGAAGTGCTCATCTTCTGTTAACATGTTAAGCTTCAGCAATGTCTGAGAATTTCATTTGAAGTGATTTTGTGGATTATCAACTAGCAGTGGGATCCAGGAGGTCAGCTTAGATCAAAGATTTCAGTCTAATCAATCAATATAGGAAACTGATATTCAGTGAGAATAAAGGTGGTATTTGAGTGTCAATTGATCAAGTGTGAAGAGGGTGTGAAAATATCCATAAGGAGCATATGAGAGTGATAATTGTGAATTAATTATTAAAGTAGAAGGGTTGTATTGAAGAACTGCCAGTGTACCAGCCATACAAAAAAGCCGAAACCTGACGCCCCCTTAGTACTATTTGGCCTCACCAGTATAGATTAACTTGAAAGACGACTCTGGTGGAGTTTGTGTGGCCTGAGTTCACCACGTCTCTTATTCTACCTTGGTCTTAACGTCTTCACTAGAGTCATTCCCTGTAAAAAAATTTTGATTTTTTAAATTTCACTTTTAGTTTGCTTTTACCTTAATAATTAATTCACTAGCATCACTCTCATATGTACCCTGTTGTACATTTTCACACCGTCTTCACAGTTGTTAATGCATTGACACTCAACTACCACCTTTATTCTCACTATGCAATAGCAATTTTAACCTTATCAAATTTCTATCTTTGTGCCGTTGAGTACCACGTAATTTACAACTTTTAATTATTTACCTCTAAAGCCACTTCTGAGCAATATAGGAAAATCAAAAAATGGACTTATATAAACGAAAGATGATTGATGCCTGCCTATTTCAGAAGAGAAGGTTCTCATAACCCACCCAAGTGGTCTAGTAGACAGCGTTTTAGCATTTGATACAACGGCTGGTAGTGGGGTTAAGATTTCAGTGGGAACACCCCATCGTTGACTCAGTGAGAAAATGCAGGTATATCCACTTACCTGATGAATCTTAAGTAGGACGAAGTGTGCAACTTGGAGGATTCCACCTGTTTGGAACTATTCACAGCAGCACACCTTGGAAAGAAGTTGTCTGGAGTTCCAGTCAAAAGTTATGACTAGTGGAGGCCACGTGGTTGACAGTGTGGACAAATACTCAACAACGATGACATAATCTAGCGCCAGTCATGCTAAGATACAACGAGTTGGTAGAAGTTAAGATATTTATGGACTGGCCATTGAGACGGATCCCAGTGGTTGAATGGTCTACGAGGTTGCCTTGTAAGCGGATGGTTTTGGGTGCATACTGCCGATTAGTTCCAAACTAGGAAGAGACAGCTGTCCAAAACACCCTGGTATTAATACTATTCTTGAGGAGATATGAACTGATTTAAGTGTAATTTGAAAAAAAAAACAGTGATTGACAGAAAGATGTATCATACAATAACATGTCAGCTAAATGACTTTTGTTCGTTTTGGTTTCCCTTTCAGCTTCAGGCATACAGAACTCTGGTACTCAAATAACAGACATGTTAATACAGGTCAAATTTATTAATCAAAAGGTTCAATGTATTAGATAATCAATGCCGAAATGATAAGTAGTCACAGTCAAGGTCATTTCATCAATGAACCCAACAACACTAAAGGAGAACATCTACTTGAGCTGCTGGTAATACTACTGTGATGAGAGCTGTCTCCTAGCCGAAATTGATAGACAGCAATTTACGTCAATGTTTACATCCTATATCTTGGTCATGGGAAAAAAACAAGAACGAAGATTAACTCAACAACCAATTACAGCAGACTTTGCTTGGGCGGATACGATTCGCAGATATATATCAACGGACTGTCTAAGAAACGGGGCAACAGAATAACCTTCAGCAGGAAAACAACCTATCAGAAGACGTTGCTTCTCTGCTAATAATAACGCTAATAATAATGTACATAAAAATCTATAAATATTTGTTGATTTTTTTTGGGGTTCGAGCCTCGGTGGGAACAGCAAAACCCACTGGGGAATGCAGGCACATTCAGTTAACTGACGAGTCCCAGACTAGGGCGAAATGTACATCCTGACTGGATTCCACTGCTAGTCACCATCCACCAAATAAATTCTGATTACATGCCCAGACATCGTCAAAGCATCTGCACAAGAATTTGACATGTCAACCTGAACACATCGGTCCAATCAATCGACGGGAAAATCAAAAATTCAATTCAATAATTAATATGACCCGTTGCACAAGAGGTGGCTCTCGTGGCCGAAGTGGTCTAGTGGATAACGCTTTGGCGTTTCAAACTATGGGCACTAGGTTTGACCCTCGTTGGAAACACCATCACTCACTAACTGGGAAATGAAGGTACATCCAGTGGCTGACGAGTCCCAACTAGAAAAAAAATGCGTATCCTGACTGGATTCCACTGCTAGTCACCATCCAACAATTAAATCTGTTGATTTTCTCAATCAACGATCTGTTGCCTGACCCTTGTCTTCTGTCGTCACACTACTACTCAGCTCTTCTATAAGTGAGTAGTACTGTTATAATAATGATTGCATTTCCATCTAATTTCGCGATAGATGTACAAATCGATGTGACGCTAACTGACTTTAATGAGATAAGAAACTGACTTATTACCACCCTATAACAGTATGAAACATTTACAATATGCGGATAATAATATTGTTCTTCTAAGTTAAGACGGTAACCTCGCCTAGTTTACTAGGTGGTTAGTTTTCTAGCCGGTCTCAAGCTTGGGAAAAGAAGGATGGTATGAACAGCATGGAGCTAGCAACCTTACTCCGAAAAATCAATCAAACAGTTACAGAAACTTCAATGCACAAAAGAGAACTACTCCAGGTGAACACAGAGGAAACGCAGATGATGAAGATAGTCAAACCAACTAACTAACCAACCAACAGCAACAACAACAAAAAGCACCAATCTTCACCAATGTGAGAGATTTGAAAGAGGAAGCATTTTTACAAACACAGACAACAACAACAACAACAAAGATGAAGATGTCAAAAAAAAACAGGCAGGATTGGAATGGTACCTTCAAGATACACCTCCACCAATCTGAAATCAGTTTGAAAATCATATGCACTCTGTCAGCATAAAGAACGAAATTCGGATTTACAACACACACATGCGAAGTCAGTCAGTCAGTCAATTCTTCTATATTGGTCAGAAACTTGCACTGAGCATGAGTTAAGTAAAGCATTTCCAAAAGACTAAGCTGAATTTTACTAACAGCTACCTTCAGTGGCCCCATATTGAAGATCAAATGGCCGGTCTGCCAGAAAGAATTAGTAACAAGAAACTCTGGCTGGGGACAAACCAACCTGAAGAACCTGTCGTTCAACAGATATTTAGGAGAAAATCGAGATGGATTGGGCGCAAGCCGCTGAGGAGACTGACGCCGATGAGCCTTGTGTGCCAGGCCATTGCTCGAGTGGAACTTTAGTGAGAAGCAACGAGTGAGTCGTCCGAGTGTGACATGCAGGAGATCGTATCGTGTAGAGGAGGATGAAGAGATGAGAGATTATGGGCAATCGTGTTGCTAGCCAGATGAAGAGGACAGCAGAAAATAGAACAAAGTCGAGATGTGTCGTTGTAGCCGTATGTCCCACTTGGAACTCAAGTGAACAATAATAATAGTAAGTCCAGACGGTGATAAAATGCGCAGACTTCTGAACACCTTGAGCAAAAATCTTGTAATGTTAGGCAAACGATTAGCTGCTATCAAATGTAAAGTTATGGTGCAGGACCAATTTACATTAACTCTTAGTTTAAGGAAAGGTTAGTGAAATGGTTGACAGTGTTGACCACTTCACTTACTTGCAAACCGTAATGGAGTAAATTTCTGATGAAGATCTCGTCTGCTATTTGGCCAACACAGTCATTTCTGACGTAGATATACTACCCAGCTATTGATCAACGAATGTGTGTGTAAGGTATAGCAGCAGTTCCCCACCCCCTCTATCTCTTTTTACGGCTGGGAGACATGGTGTTTTTGATCAAAGATGTTCGTGCTCATTCCTCTTGTGTGTTAAGTGGTACAATACGGTGGGTAAGGGAGGGAAGTTAATCAATGAGGTCGTGAAGAGTCATGTCGATTGAGGTGGCATAGGCCACAACTTTCCGCCAACGGACAATGTTAGCTGACACTGGATCGAGCTGAGAAAAATGTAATTATTATTGTTCCTTTGGGTTCCTAGTGGAACATAGAGCTTCAACCGTACGTCTCCACTTGCTTCAGTCTTCTGCCCTACTTTTCGCCTGCATCCATATTAGTCCATACTCTTTCAACTCCTCTTCACACGATCTCCCCCATGTCACCCTTGCATTGACGACCCATTCGCCGGTTCCCTTTCTGTCGGGTTCCGCTCGAGAAATGGCCTGACGCGCGCGCGACGTCACCCAGCGGCCTCCTCAGCCAGTGTGAAATCCATAGTTTCTTGTTTGTGATTCTTTCCGGTCCGCCCGGCCATCTGATCTTTAGTATAGATCCAGTGAAGACAGTTGTTGATAAAGGTCTGCAATAGCCTGTTGGTTGGAAATATTCTTTGTGACCCGACCGCCAAGTTTCTCATCCGTATAGAAGAACTGACTGACTTGACGTTTGTATTGAAAATCCGGCTGAATTTTGTTGTTGTTGCTGGCTGAGTGACGAAGATTTCCAGATTGATTTCAGGTTGATGAATGTGTTTCTCACCTTCCGAATTCTCGCTCGATTTGACATCCTCGTCCGTTCCGACTGCGTGTAGCTGAGACAATGCTCCCTAGATAAGTGAAGTGAATGAAGTGACCTCTTTCAAATCCCTCCCGTTGTTGATGGTGATTGGCGCTGGATGTCGCTGTTGTTGTTGTTGGTGGTGGTTGGTTGGTTATTTTCATAACCTCCGTCTTGTCCTGTCTTCGCCGGATGCTTCTTCGACCAGTTTGTTGGTCGGTTTACGCTTGTAAGTCTTCGATTTTGTGACAGTGACATCAAACACTAATCATCCACGCGCGAAATCCAGGTGTTCTAGGTTCTTCACATCAGTTCAGGAAATCCCTGTCTTCTCGTTTCCAACTGGCTGACGCATAATCCAGTCAGTTCACCACAATTAAGAATATCATTGGTGATAATAAGCACCCTGGTCTCACTCAACCTCTTGTGTTTACTCCAAACGCCTCGCTGAGTGAGTTTTCAATTGTGGATCACTTGACTTGTGCCGTTATCGTACAGCTGTTGAATAAGGTTGATGAATGTTAGGATTGTTCAAATAAATAAATAAAAAAACAACAACACCATCAATCCAATGAAATCTTCGACTGTTGGATTCCAGCCTTGTAAAGTGGTGTAAACTCTGTTCCGACATGCTTAAGAAGCAATGATAAGTAGAGAATGTTATCTTATCTTTTATCTTTTGATTACAGCTTGATTCCACACTGTACTTTTTGGTACAAGTATGGAATTTTCAGCATGGATATCGGTAGCCCAAATTTTGCAGGCCGACCACAGATATCAGGTGTGCGTCGGCGGAGAATCGAACCTCGGACAATATGCATGGTCGGCGAGAGTCCTAACCACTGTGCCACCGACGCTGAAAATTACTTTCATTGGCACAGATTTAATCAGTTTTGTAACCTTCCTCAAAACTCGCCATATATAGTTATTCTTTCTTTCATAAACCTCCACTCATCTTGTGTAATGCTGCACTTCTCTGTGCAAAGTCAGTCAGTCAGTTGTCCCATCAACTTCGGAGACTACAATATTATTAACTGTAGATGTGTACAGCATGTCACCACTAGATGCATAAAGGGGAACAAGATTCCTGTGGGACATTCCAGTCTGTGTTAAATTAACATTTTCAAGGATTAGTTTGTGGAGATTTTATTTGTTTTAGGGTAGACCATGAGATTGATATCATTTGTTTCGTCCTAATGCGTAGGACTCATCGGAAGTACGCACTCACCATCGACGTTCGAATCTAAGACCTTCCAGTTACAAGGCAAGCTCTTAACCCATTCACAGTCACTGAAATATAACTCAATGACCTCTGTTGGTGGCTGCGTTAAATAAATGACGAATTGGTAGAAGTTAGAATGGAATCGGATCCTAGTGGACGTATGGTCTACGAGCTAGCCGGCTTTGTAACCGGAGAGTCCTTCGGTTCGAAGTGCCTGTGGTGGGTCCGTACTGTCTCTCTGTCTGTTTTCCACATAGAACTTTGCACATATGTGCGGAAGTTCAAGTCGCCACACTCCACTCCATGTAGCACACAAAGCAAGAAAAGAAAGTAGAAGAAATGCATAATAGGGACAGTAAACAGAGGGGTGAGACAAAGGAAT